GTATTTTGGCTGTTACAAGTGGGGACACCTGATGTGTTGATAGCTGTCAAAGGTGGGATTTCCTCTAATTTTTAAAAGATTTTTACTTCCTATTTAATCCCTGCATAATTTTCAAAGATTGGGACACAAACTTTAGAGAGCCTTGTCCTTTTTTATAAAACCAAAAAAGCTCTGGTTAAAGTTGTACTGTTAATAAATATGTTTTGCGCAAATGGTTAATACATATTGCTAGGCTAATGCTATCTCTGTATTTTCTCTTTTGTGTTTCAGCATTTCAGGGAACATTTGGACAAACTTTCTGCAAAGGGAATTGGAATGTTGGACAATGCGTTGAATGGAGCCTTTGATTTGTTGAGTGAAGTAAGTATTTGTATGGGTATGAAGGTGGCTCATCCACAGGTCTTAGATTTTTACCTTTTGATTTGTTACTGTGTGCTTTCATAGATATTTCGAGAGTAATTCAATTAAAAGCTATTTTAAAAAGCTATTTTTAAATTGAAATTGATGGATATTGTGCAGAACTGTCAGTTGTCCTCATCAGATGTCATGGTAATACCCAGAAATGTTGACACATAATAGGATTTTTTTTAAAAGCAGCTTTTGATGCCATTAATCAACAATTAAGTTTGGACGAATGCCACCTCTGTAATTATCCGTTCTTTTCAATTGTAACATATCAGCTCATGTTTGTTGACACTAATATATTCTAAGACGTCTATAAATATATAGCTTTTCCATTTGGAAGGTATTCAAAGTTTCTTAGACAATCCACCAACATAGACTGTTCAGTAAAATGTACCTTCCATATTCCCCAGAACAGAAGCAAATAATAGTTTTTGCTATCTTTATATAATTATATTTTTATTGTAGCCAATTAAATGAAATTGTGTTGCTTTCAAAGGCTAATAATCACAAATTCTTTTTGTGTTTGATGGTTTGAATTAAACGGTTGAATCAGTTGTGGACTTAATTGTGCTTGATCACAAAAAAAAACTTGTCAAAGGTATTGAAGTGAAATAATATACACCAATCATTCTCCTTAAATGTTCCTGACAATCTTAGGATTCTGTACCAATGTAATTAAAGTCCAAACACTTTCAGCATACTTTGTGGCAGAACTTAGGCCACATTGCCTAATCCTAACAGTATATAACATTTACATATTAAAAGCAACCCACCCATTTAGATGCCGCCTGATAGCCAAGCCCCCTCATCAAGATATACACACCTTACCCAAACTCCCTTGCCACCTTATGGCTGCAGGTGTGGGATGGTGTGCAGGTGTGCAGGAGAGCTTCAGTGTGGGATGGTGTTGAAGTTTACCCAGGTGGATGAGGTCACTGCCACCTTGTGGATTGAAGTTTCCTGTTTTGCTTTTTTTTTGCTGTAAAAACTGGTCCCTTTTACTTGTTGTCCTTTCCATCATACTGTATGTTGTCAACTATCAGATTATATTGCCTTCCCTTGTCTCCAATTCCATTGTCATCTTCACTTTCATTTCCTTCAGCCCATGGTTATCTACCTTCTTCCGTCTTGTACTCCCCCTAGTACTTGCCATTATTACATGTCAGTCTGTTATGACACATTTAGAAGCCCAAAACAAATAAGCCTGAGGTTCCATTCTCACATGAGCGGTTTTCTGCGTACAAATACGCGCAGAACCACTCTGAACATAAAAAACAATGCATTTTAATGTCCATTGTTCATACTATTGTGGGGACGGTGTGGGACAAAACCACATGTCGCGCAAAATAGTCCAAGCACGATTTCAGGGGGCGATTCCGCACATTCACGGCTATAGTAACAGATGCAAACAAGCGGAATCCACGCAGATCTAAGATTTTAGGTTTTCTTGCCATGCAGTCCTCCGCACGGGAAACCGTGCGGGAGATGCAATGGCTATATATAAATGGAGCCTTAATAAACCTACCTTTGAATGCCCAGTGCCAGGCAAACATTTCATACTTGAACAATTTATATAATATATTTAAAAAATAAAAGGTACCCTCCAAACACTAATTGTAACAGAAGTCATCCACCAAAATCCCTGGACTATTCTGAACCAGTTGGTATCATGGTGGAATACTCTTCATCATGAGCCGACATCTGCTTCCTGCTTAGAAATGTCAGACCACTGATGCTGTTAAAATGAGGTATCCCTTTGGTCGTGGATTTTCTTCTCTTCTGCCCAACATATTACATTCATAATGTTGCACAAACTAATTATTTCTGCTTGATAATTCATATATTTTATTTTATTATCTGACAAAAGGGTCTTTTCAAAAGAGGCTGTATTTTACATGATTTCAGTAGTCCAAACAACAGGGAAACACTGGACTTAAAGAACACTGTCACCTTGCCCACGGCATCTCTGCAAAGGCCTCCCAAAGCCCACACTGATACTCACCTTACCAGTGCTTCCCCACTGCTTCTTCCTCCTTTGCAGATGGAAATGCTATATAGCTTTCCTGGGTATGGCCAAGCACTGCCAAAGAAATGGGGGAGTGCTGTCACAGCGCCCCCTAGTCATCTACCCTGATAATTTAATTGCTGCTGTGATGGACCACAAGCAAGGTGAGGTTGGGGGTGGGGTGTATTTGCAGAGACACTTTCGCTTTGCCCTGACAGTGTCTCTTTAAGGGAGTTTGGAAATGCAGGGTGCCATGAAAGATTATCTTCCGTGAAGCTAAGGAGGAGAGCTGGACAGATTAGGGTAGAAAGATAAATTAGCTAAATGTACGATGCATCTGGAAGCCAGTGAGCTGCTTAGGCTACATATGACTAGAAAGTGCTGAGAACTATGTTTTTAAAATCTATCTTTTGCAGTGTATATATATATATGTATTTCTTTATTTCTTTTTGCAAAATCTGTTTTGGCGTGATGTTAGGAACCCAGAATCCTGTGCATTGTTTGCTCTTAGACATTAAAACAAATTGCTAAAATAGCTCCCATTGAGAAACAATTCTTAACATTGCTAAACCTAAGCACCCAATTAGGCCAAAGACTCTTGCTCAAGCACAGATTTTTTTATTTATGTTTAAATAGCTGTAAATAAAATGTAACTAAACATGTTTAAGAAATTGTTATTTGAAAGTTTTTACTTTAATTAGTAAAAGAATATTGTTTATTGTATTAATGTATTATATCAATGTATCCCCTGTGTATAGGGTAGGTAGCTTGTGTAAAGTACGTGCCAATGTACTTAGTAAAACTATGTGCTACGGGTTAGTGGCACTTTTTGTCTTACCCCATTACCCTTTCCCAATCAAATTCAGATTTTGGCCTATCAAATCAAACTGAACGCTTTACACGTTTTGCACTGATAAGGCTTTAACATTTTATGAATGCTGCTGTTTAAATTTCAGAACATTTCTATTGCCCTGAAAATACCAGTATAGTCAGTGTTACCCTATGACATAACTGATTCTCTTGTGTGACAATGTATAATTTATCTAGGATTATGACAAATTGACTGTTTATGGCTCCACAGTTCAACCACACAGGAGAAGGAAGCATCTGCAGTCAAGCAATCATGCTCATCGCTGATGGGGCTGTCGACACGTATGATACAATATTTGCCAAGTACAACTGGCCTGACCGGAAGGTAAATGAAACTTGATCCATCACTATCATGTAAAATTAATACGCTTTGAGAGAAATGTCAGTGGAATTTTCCACCCATTCGTTTGTGCATGAAATGCTCTTGCCATTATTTAAAGGACAAATGAAGGCTTCTATATGACATCCCTGGATGACAAGTCTCGGTAATGTCTGAAGGCTTAGCCTCGTAGAGTAAACAAAAACATCCCTAACCTTCCTTGACTGATCCTTAATTTGTCTCTCACATGCTCCCCCTCCCAGACGCTGCAACTTACAGTGGAATGGTTTTAGCAACATAGGTAGTGCCGTCAATCCATAAAGCAGCAGACAGGGCTTGTCAGACAGCAATGGCAATGCTAATAACTACATCCTCTGCAACATTTATTCATCCCACTGTAGCATAAGCAGGCACAGGTAACATGAGAGTTACAAATCTGCTCTGAGTTGATTGAGAAGCAGTGCAGCATCATTGCCACCCCATGACCGGAAGCTGCATTAGGAGATCACTGGCAATATCTACAGCTATATGTGGGACTTTGCAGGGGGACTAAGAAAGAACTGTAAATGCAGATGCAGTGATGCGGCACTATATTTGATGGGAGTCTATAGTTCTATTTTAAATTAGTTTCTGAGATGGACAGTAGAGTGCTATTCTGTTAAACTGTGCGTGGCCAATGGCAAAAATAAATAGTATTTTACTTCTACCAACTGGCATCCCCCTTTCTAATTAAAGTGCCTGGCCATTGCTGCAGTCTCTTTGGGTACTGTAGTGGGAATTGGGGGGCTTAGCCATGAAGCGGAGAGGAATTCAGGCCTTATTAATAAATTGGAATCAAAGCAGGAAGCCACAAGGAAGTGGCAACGGAATTGTAACAGAAGGGATAGTTCCTATCCATCTGGCAGGCATTTGCAATGCACAGAAATAAAAAAGAATCCAGGTATATTGGCACACAATATAAGCAACCTCCAAAGAACAATAACCAAAAAGCAGGGCAATGGAAATAGATTAATAAGCACACTGAACAGAAGTTCCACAAGGCAATAGTAGTCCTAAAGTCCCAATGCAGGCATATGAGGTCTTGTTGCTCCAAAAATGGAAAAAAAATTGCAGGACACACTTGGAGTTTGGTATACTGGCTCACGTGACTTTACTCATTCACCAAGTGAATTTATGGAACTCCCAGGTCTTCATCAGTGGGTAAAACATAAACAGCAGGTCCTTCCTAGTAGCAAGTCACTGTGACAAGTGTGTGTGGTGAAAGCCAGTGTTATGAATGAGCCTCTCCAAGTAACTGTAATATTTGTCATTGATTTCTTGCACCCAGGATAATTGTTGTTCTATACTGTTATACTGTTTTATTGTTCCTGAGGTTTATACTACATTTATTGCTCAGGGAGTTATTATACCTGGACAAGTCCTGTTCACTGGTGTCACAAGTAAATAGAGCTTTCATCATATTTTACTCTATAGCTGTCACTGGCAAACCTTCTTTTATCTTTTTTGAAATCTGAAAGCACTGTGGTTGAGCAATACAGGTGGATATGCTTTGATTTTGTAGACAAGTCAATGAGATCATCTTTAGCAGTGGGTGGGAGACAACAAGTGTGATTAAAGAGCATTGAAAGCAGTGACAGGGATAATTGGTATAAGATGACAAAATACAGCAAAACAATTGTCTGTGATCTTTTTAATGTCTTTCTCTCTTTTGCATTTTATATTTGTTTTTCAATTCCTGTTATATTTTGCTTTTTAACCTTTTAAAAAAGGGGAACATTTTTGATGTTATAGTACACTATAGGGCCACATGACTAGCACACCTACCTACAGTATAAGACAAACATTATGTGGACACACCTACAATTGTTGCATTTAGATGTTTCCAGGAAGGGTACAGTTTAAGCTACAGCATACAAAGATATTTGTATGGGAACATCTAACATTATGGGAACAGTTTGTGGAAGGACCTTTATTGTTCCAGCACGACTGTGTCCCTGTTCCCCATGTCAGTTCTGTAATGACATTGGGAACATGTCATATATATAGTCTTAGTAGTGAAACATTCCTCTTTTCATTCCAATGTGCAAATTTTATTTTCTCATCAACCACCGTGCTCTTCCATGTTAACAATTAATCTGTGATTTTCAACACTCCACCGCGTCTAAACACCTTAAATCCGCACTCACCAGCTGTTATTGGTCACCTTGTTACAGGCCGACCCAAATAATTTGTTTTATAAACTCTTTCCAACACTTTGCTTTCCAGTCCTTCAAAAAGATGGATGGATAACACTGATTCCCAATTTACTATTTCATCCTTCAGGGGGATGGATGGCTAGGACTGGTTTCCCTCGTGGCTCTCCCCTTTCTCTTCTTGAAGTTCACCCACCGTTACTCAAGAAAACATAAGAGTACTTTCCATTGTGCAGTATTTTTAAACCATTTATTGGGTAAAATAAAAAGATTGCACTTACATCACAGGTTAAAAACTATGCTATACTTCTAGTTTGGGACCCAGACACAAAAGGTTAAAAAAAGGTGAAAGAAAACACAAATAGGCATAATCGGTAAGGCTGGTATGTGTGTGGGAAGAATAGGGAGAGCAGTTGGACAATAATTTGAGATTTTATTTCTGTTATTTTCCAAGCACCTCAGAAATCAAGGTCTTTTCAGCCCTGTATATTATGTATTATTTTATATAATTGATTTCTGAGGCGATTGCCTTTGTGGACCAAATTGCCAATATAAAAGAAGCTTTACCCACGAATGGTCCTTTATAGCTAAAGGCTTGCCTAACAACATTACATGATACTTTTTTCTCGGTTATTCATGTGTTTTCCAGAATAAGAAACATATTATTTTTGTGTGTATTATTTGGCTCAAAAAAACCCTATTTAGAGTGGGAGCTGCTGTGTTGATTGTTCAGTAAGGTGGGGAAGCAATGGGACGCTCTGCTCTAAAAAAAAGAAAAAAACAAAATAAAGGTAATGTTGATAAGCAGAATATTTCTTGAAATCTTTTGCTGCTGTAGCCATATTTTAACCACTTGCTGTCCGGAGCAATTTCGTACTATTTGCACGCACATGATAAAATATACATTTTTGGCTAGAAAACAGCTCCAGACCCCAAACAATGATATATTTTCTGAAAGCAGAGGCCCTGTAGAATAAAAAGATGCTAGTTGCAATTTTTTATTTTGCACAGTATTTGCTCAAATGTTTATCAAACCGGTATTTTTAGGATAACATACACTAAATCAAAATTTGGTGCACAGAAACAATATAATACCCATTTTTTTGTAAAATATAAAAGACGGGGTCACGCCGGGTAATTAGATACCACACATGTCAAGCCTTAAAATTGCGTTTGTCCGTGAAGCCACAAAAACTTAAATACCCAAAATTTCCCATAGCGAACATTTTAAACGCTTTTACCGCTCATCAGTTTAATGCTAACAGTGCTTGACAGAACTAGAATTATTGCTCTCACTCCGATGTTCACAGCAATATGCAACATGTGTAGTGCAATTGTCACTTCAGCGCGTAGGCACACCGACGCATGTTTGCATGTGTATGTGCGTGCACGTGGGGGGACTTTAAAAACATGTTTTTGCATTTTTTTAAATTTTTCTTATATGTGACTTCGATATTTTAAACATTTTTTAAACACTTTTTTTTTTCTACACTAACCTTACTGCTATCACATAGGTGGCTAACAAGCAGATAGGGTGTGACAGGTCCTCTTTATGGAGACATCAGGGGCCTTTCAGACCCCTAATGTTACCTAGGGACCCCAAAGAAGCTGAGGAAGCAGAGATCTGCTTCCCCAGCTTCTGCTCCTAGCTCTAGGAGCCGGAGACTGTAAATAGTGACACTGGAAGTGATGTAATGCACATCACTTCCGGGTCCAGTGATTGGAGGAGAGATCAGCAGGTGGAAGCCACTGAATCTCTCTCCGATCATTGCAGGGAGACCTGCCGTGCCGCTCCCGGGTGCCGACACGGGGACAGGGGAGGGTGCCGCATGGTACAAATGATCCAGCGGCTGTGTAGACGCTGGATCGCTTGTACATTAACAGGCATCACTGACTGTTAAAAAACGATACCAAGAACATGCCTGCTGCAGCAGCCATGTTCTTGTTTTAACCACTTCTGCAGGCTGCCGTCTATAGACGTATTGCGGTCCGGAAGTGGTTAATTCTGCACACACATGCTAAAATGAATGTTTTGTATAAGAAAACCCTTTTTAAAATCTAAAATTATATATTATTATTCATATATATTATATATTTTCTGAAAGTACAGACCCTGTACAGTAAAACAGTGTTGCAATTTTTTTATCACACACAATATTTTCACTACTGTTCAGCTTCTGCCGTTTCACTGTCCAGTCAGCAGACTGGGGGTAGAGAGAGAGCGCCAGTGTCTCCCTTCTAAAGTCTACAACTGTAACAAAGAGAGTCATGTGATCTCTCTCTGGCTGATCTATCTGGTAGGGTTATGTAGATCTCAGAACTGGACTGGCAGAAATACAAATTGTTTTGGCTAGTTAAAGCAGTATTAAACTCTCAAACTTTGTTTCATTATTGAATCCAGATGTAAAGTATTTTTAACATTTTTTCCCAAGCACTTACATTCATCATGCTTTTGAACAACTCCAACTCTCTCAACTGGGCTTCCCTGAACTTCCCGTCCAGTACAAGATCACAAGGGGCAATTGAGTCTGCAATACTAGTTTAAAGAAGGGATGACAGGGGAGCAGGAGGGAGCGGAGAGGCTTGCCTTGCTGGGTCAGCACACCATATTGAAGTGAAGTGAAGAACACGTCTGTTTATTGTATAATGTAATTTCAAGCCTGATGAAGGAGACCCTGTGTGGCCCCGACATGTTGCTATTTGTTTTGACATGAAGTGTCAATAAACAGACATGTTCTTCACTTCAATATGGTGTGCTGGTGACATCTTTAACAAGTTTCAGTATTGGCGGCGCAATTCACGGTCACTTCGAGC